ACTGACATCAGTCAGCAGGCAGGATATCCCAAGGCTGCTCTGGCAATGTCCCTGCACTGGCAGTAGGCACTGGAGAAGAATCAATCTTGGGGAGCAGCACCTGGACACTGTGGGTGCAGGGGGGCTTCCACTGTACTGCATGAGCCTTGGGGAGGAGCCATGTGCAACTCCAGGGACACTGTTTACCTGATGTAATTGTGCAAGGCCATGGCCCTCGCCCACGGGGAGGAGACCTGAGGCCAGAGAACTGCGTACCAGGAGTTGAGGAAGGATGGAGCCTCCTAGGTTAGCAGGAAGCCCCTGCGTCCTGGGAGGAAGGGTGGGTTGAAGGCTGGGTCAGCAGAAGCTTGGTCCTGGGGAGGGGGGAGTCTGAAGGGAGGGGACAGGAATGGTGAAGAGCAGCAGGTTCCCTGGGAACTGTAGGGTGGCGTGGGGTGGAAAGGACCGGGTGTCCGCTTAGCTCACACTCCTCTTGGGGCTATCTCTGCCTCGCAAGCCTGAAGCTACCTCATTGGTCCCTGGGTCCCTGGAGAGAGGACGCAGGGAGGGCTGGGGCTTCCTCCTGGCCAGCTCTGCAGCCCCTATGCCCCTGGCGCTGAGCTAGGCAGGCCTGTGCTGCAGAGCTGCAGGCTGTGGGGAGAATGAGTAATGAGCTTTGAGGGGCGGCAGGCCCAGACCCTGCCCCGGCCCCTCCCGGAGGCACCGCAGAAGCCCAGCCTCTGCCCTGGCAGGCGCTAGCAGGCACGTGCCTGCGCACAGCACCCCCTCCCTTGTCACACTCTTCCTCCACATCTGGGCACACAAAGACTGATAGAGTCATCCCCTCCTGGACTCTTACCCACTTTGCCACTGCTGCTCCCATCCCCCAGCCAGGTAACATTCCTTCCGGCTTTTAGGACCTAGGCGACTGCCTCCCAGCCTCTGGAGGCCGCCTCATCAGCCTCCACTCTTTCTGTCCTCTGCCAACTTCCTGAATGAGGGAGACCCTGACCCTTGGCTTTGCCGGCAGGAACCCCTCTGCCACCCTCTAGAAGGTGGGGGATGTGACTATGACAGAGGGACTGGGCTGGGGGTGGGGCAGGGGAACTAATCCCCTCCCTTTCCTGAGCTGAGGAGTGAGCGGACAGCAGCACGAAATCCTATTCCCTCTGCCAGCAGAAATCGATAGCTAATTAATTCCCTCCCCAAAATAGTGTCTGGAGGAGGGGGTGGGGGCCTTGCTCAGAGGCAAGGCCAGACTGAGACTGAGACCCTGGGTCGGGGACGGAGGGAGGTTGCCATTCTCCGGCCTCCGGAGCCGTGCCTCTGCTGGGGGTCTCTGGCTGCTCCTTCTGAAGAAGAGGGGGAGTTTGGCTTTTCCCTCCCCCAAGCCTGAGGGTCCCTCTCCCCTGCCCTGGGCTGGGGTGAGGGTGCATGCGTGTGGGGGTAAGGGCGTCAATCAGGCTGGGAGCAGGTGCTGCATTTAATTTGATTGGCTAATTAGCCCGCGCATGTTAATTATCTCTATTACCCAGTGAGGAGAGGCAGTGGCAAAGCTATATATAACTGCGATAGTGTTTGGAGAGAGAAGGGACTGCTTGCCTGGAACACCTCCCTCCCTGGGGCAGCCCTTGGAGGGGTGCTGGGGCAGGACACTTGAGACCCTCTTGGAGCCTGTAGGAGTCGGGGGGGGGGGCAGCAGTCAGAAGGAGCCAGATGGAAGGACCTGAGAGCTGGATTTGGAGGGTCTCTTGGAGATGGCTCCCCAAACTCTCTCTGTTGCCAGCCTCCTGAGGCCTTCTCTGCCCATCTTCTTTCTGCATACATATCACTCCAACCATCCTGCCCTCCCGTGACTCTCTGCTCACCCCCCTCACTCTGGCCTTTTCGGGGGGTCCCTAGGTTTCTCTCTCCCCCTTCATACCCCAACTTCCTCCCATGTAGGGAGGAACCACACTCATCCAACCTTCTCTCTCTCCAAGTCACCCCTCTTCTCTTCTTTTGGTTCACACCTCTCTGAACCACACCCGTGGCTGCCCTGCCCTTTGTCTCTTTTGTGGAGTTGCTGGAGTCAGACCTATGTGGATCTAAGTCCCAGTTCCCTGCTGACTGGCTGTGTGACCTTGGGCAAGTCCCTAGACTTCTCTATGTGGGCTTCCCCAATGGTTAATGGTAATAATGGGACATCCCAGACTGATTAAGTAAAATGACATTTGTAAAAGTGCTCAGCATCCAGGGCCTTGACAAATGCTGTTGGAATTTGGAATTTAATTTTCTCTGTCTTCTCATTCCTTTTCTCCCCATCAGGCCACCTTTCTCCTCAATTACTCTTCCTTTTCATGCGATTTCTCTTCTTCCTCTCCACGCTCCCCTTCAATCTTTCCCTGTCTCTTCCTAAACTATGGTCCTTCTCTGCTTCTCTCTCAGGCTTCTCCCCACCTCTTTCCCTTCCTCCCTCCCCAAAATAAAATCAATGCAATATTCAGGAGGGTTGTTGGATATAAATAATTACGACTCAGAGTTTAACGAGATGCAAATTCCCCTCCCCGGCGTGGGGTATAAATTGCTCTCTGACAGCCAGTTACAAGGGTAATCATTTCAGAAAGGCAATTTTATGCAAATGAGGCTGCCTGCCTCCTGGTGGCTCCCCCAGGCCTGGATGAGGAGGAGGGTGGAACTGAGGGGTGAAGAGAACCCAGTTATCGGAGCAGGTCTCAGGCTGAAGACTGGGAGCTGGAAGTTGGGGGTGACAGACACTTAGGTTCAGGAATGACCTGGGCTGGTGAGCAGGAGGTTGGGGCCCAGGAAGGGGTGAGTGTGGTTTTGGGGTAAGTGGAGACACAGAATCAGACGCCTGTCTCTTTGCATGGATGAAGAGGGCTTGGGGTCTGGTTGCCTGGGTCCTGGCTGGTTTCTCTCCCTTGCCCCCTTCCAGCCAGGTTACCCAGTGATACCATTGACAAATTGGCATTTAATTAATCCTAATGAATTATTTAGCAACTTCATTATCCAGCATCAGGAACTGATGAGAGAGAGCCGTGGCTGGTGGTGGGAGCCACGCACAGGGGTTGGGTGTCTCAAAGAGGAAGGGGCTGTGGTCACCAGCTGAAGGAGTCTTTAGGCCTCATCCACAGGAGCTGGCCCTGGTCCTGATGGGAGGCGGGGGTGAGGGCATCTGGGTTGGGCTCCTACTGGACACGAAGGTGTTACCTCCCTACCTGTCTACATCTTAAACCAATAATGCCCCTAGCGAGTGTCATCTCCCCCACCCCCAGGGTTGAGCCCCCAGTGCTCCCGTCATGGTGGTGTCTCTTGTTTTGAGACCCTCTCCAGGTCAGTCCTAAAGGGAAACAGTTGAGCTCTTGCTGGTGTGAGGGGGGAGCCAGACACCGACACCTCCCCTCCTCCGAGCCCCTCATTAACACTTTCCTCTCCATTTCCCCGCAGGCATCCCTCCCCCATCTTCCGTCGGAGCCCGCAGCAGGGGAGGGGCGCCTCCGCCTCAGTCCGTGGAAGCCGGCACCTGGGCCTCTGCTCGCTTCGCCCTGCGGCCGGGCCCATGGCACTGTGAGCCGGCGAGGGAGCCCCGCTCGGCGCGGGGGGCGCCCGGCCCCCTCCCCGCCCCATGAGCCCGCGGCTCTGAAGCCTGAGCGGGGCCGGGGGCCGGGCGGGGCCGGGGCCGGGGCCGCCGGAGGCATGGCGCCTGGGAACCCGTGGCGGCCGCCGTCGCTGCCGCTGCTGCTGCTGCTGACGCTGGCGGCGGGTGCGGGCGGCCTGGAGTTCGGCGGCGGCCCGGGGCAGTGGGCGCGCTATGCGCGCTGGGCCGGAGCGGCGAGCAGCGGCGAGCTCAGCTTCAGCCTGCGCACCAACGCTACTCGCGCGCTGCTGCTCTACCTGGACGACGGCGGCGACTGCGACTTCCTGGAGTTGCTGCTGGTGGAAGGGCGCCTGCGGTTGCGCTTCACGCTCTCGTGCGCCGAGCCCGCCACGCTGCAGCTGGACACGCTGGTGGCCGACGACCGCTGGCACATGGTGCTGCTGACCCGCGACGCGCGCCGCACAGCCCTGGCGGTGGACGGCGAGGCCCGCGCCGCCGAGGTGCGCTCGAAGCGGCGCGAGATGCAGGTGGCCAGCGACCTGTTCGTGGGAGGCATCCCACCCGACGTGCGACTCTCGGCGCTTACGCTCAGCACCGTCAAGTATGAGCCGCCCTTCAGCGGCCTCTTGGCCAACCTGAAGCTGGGCGAGCGGCCCCCCGCGCTGCTGGGCAGCCAGGGCCTGCGCGGCGCCGCAGCCGACCCGCTGTGCGCGCCAGCGCGCAACCCCTGTGCCAACGGCGGCCTCTGCACCGTGCTGGCTCCCGGCGAGGTGGGCTGCGACTGCAGCCACACGGGCTTCGGCGGCAAGTTCTGCAGCGAAGGTGAGTCTGGGGGGAGCCCCCGCTGGGTGCCTGGGCGCGGAGTGAGGCGCGGGAGAGTTGTCTGGGCCTGTAGGGGCGCCTGCGGCCCGCGGGCTCAGGCATGGGGGCGGGTGAGAGTGTGTACCAGCACGCAAGTTGGGAGGGGCGTGTGAGGACGCCTGTCCCAAAGAGAGGGCGCGCACGGTCAGCCGGTGAGCTGCAGGAGCTGCGGGGTGCTGAGGGTTGGCGTGGGCGTGGCCGGCCTGCGGGTCCCGTGTGGGCGCGGCCCGTGTGGGCGCGGCCTCGTGAGCCCATCCAGTGCCCCTCTCCCTGTCCCCTAGTGAAGGTCCTGTGACGACCTGTGGGTAGGACTGTGTAGTCAGGTCCAGCTAGCGAGAGGATGAGGACCGGCCCCTGCAGGCGTGTGGATCGGGTGGGTGACTGATTGTGAGGCGGCCGTGAGGGCTGGTGGATGTGATCTCTGTGGGCGGGGCCTATGTGATGCAGTGGGTGGGGCCTTGTGGGTGGGGACGGTGGGAGTCCTGTGAAGGAGTCCTGAAGACGGTGTGTGGGGCTTGTACCGCTGGGAGCTGCGTAGGGCTGTGAAGGAGAGGGTCGGCACGAGGAGGGGGCGGGGCCTGCGTGGGCCGTGGGTGGGGTCGGTGCGGGCGGGGCCTAGGAGGCGGGCGCGTGGTCGGCCCAGGAGGGCGGGGCCGCAGTCTGAGGGTTAGCGCGTGGGCGGGAAGTACTGTCTGAGAGGCCGGCGCTGTACCACAGGATGAGGGCCCCGGACGGAGGGCGGTTGGCGCGGCGAGAAGGGCAGGGCGGCGCGTGCGAGGGCGGATGAGAGCGAGTGGGGTTCGCCAGGGTGACCGCACGCGCCAGGAGGGCGGGAACCGAGTGTTTTGAGAGTGAAGGAAGCCCGAGGGACAGGGTGGCTGAGGCCTCTCAGGCTCGTGACTAGAGTTGCTGGTTTCGTTGACGGACAAAAAAAATGGCTGGTCGTCTCTCCCGGGTGAGAAACTGGAAGTGGAGGCCTCTGTTTAAAACACTGGAGCCCTCGCGAGCGTGGGGTTTGGAAGGGTGACTGGAGGGCTGGAGAGGAGTGGTGAGGACTCTGGAATATGGAATTGGGTGTGGAATTGGGACTTCAAAAGGAGGTCAAAGGAGGGAGAGGTTCCGCAGGCTCCCGGGCTGCCAGAGGCTGCAGTGGGCGAAGTGAGGGGGCAAGGTCGAGGGTGGCGCCAGGCCTGGCGTGGGCTGTGGCTTTAGAGGGGGTGGGGGAGGAGGGATTTCGAGGCCCCTGTTGTGCTTTGGTCTGGCTGGCGAGTCAGGGAGAGGTTCCCCATCAGTTTGGGGACGGGGCGCGTGCATCTCCTGCTCTGTGGCAGCCGTTTTTTAGCAGATGTGTGCAGACAGATGAGCGTTCCGCTCCCCCAGCACCTCTAGAAGCTGGAGTACTTAGCAGTTGCGTGTGTGTCTGCCCTCCAGAGGTAGGGTCTTTGAGGAGTGTGTGTGCCCACAGACCAGCACGGCCCTGGGGCTGCTTTGGGGATGGTGTCCTACTGGCTGGGACCTGCCTCCAGCCATGGGAGGAGCCACATCTGCAGGTGTGGCTCTGGGCTTGGGAAGTGTGTAATTTGATTATGTATCTGCAGTTGTGGTAGAGGAATATATAAGGAAGGTTTTGGATGGCTCTTGGGAGTTGTTTGTACAAGGTTGGGGGATGTATCTTCAGGAACTATGTGTATTAAGTGAATCTGACACCTTCTCACCTTTTCTCCAAGGAGTGCAGGTGCTCCCTAAACTGTGAAATCGTGTGTCTGTGCGTGTTTGCTTGCACGCGGTGGTGCGTGAGTCTGGCAGTGTGTATGTTACCTGTGAATGGTCTGTTTGAAAAGTAGTGTTTGCAAATAGAAGTGCTGTGCCTAGTAGAGTGAGTAGTACACAAGTGTAAGGGTGTGGGTGCTTGTGTAGGTATCCACGTGCATGCATTTTCATGTGAGATCTCAGTAAGACACCTGGACTTTATGAGGAATCTTTCATGACCTTTAACTTGATTCTCTGGCCCCTATGACCCCTCCCCTCCAAGCCTTCCTAAGAAAATAGGATGAACCACCCTTCTAACTTGATGGGAAGGAAATTTGAGCTACAGAGAGGCTACTGGTCCATGGTCTCACTGTGGCAGAATTGGCCTGGGTGTATGAAAAATGCAGCCAGAGGCCCCCTGGTCAACCAGAGCCTTTGTATTAATTCCCTGAAAGGGTTCATCGGCCAGAGGCTCCCAGTAAGCCATACAAGATGTGCGCTTCTGAACACGCGTTGTGTGGTTGTGTGTCTGCGATGTGTTTGGGTCCCTGTGCGTGACAGGGATGGTTGTATCATGTGTATATGTGATGGGTGTGTATCAGCTGTATGTTTGTGGCAGCTGTGTTAGAGCTGTGAGAGGCAGTTGCGTATCTGACCCACTGTGTGTGTGTGTGTGTGTGTGTGACATCTGTGGAAGGAGTTGTGTTTTGTCTATGATAAAAAGGGAGGGATATTCATCTGGCACTCCGTGGGTGTTTGATAAAGATCTGTGTAATGACTGAAGAGATATTAACAAGTATTTGGTAGAATAAAGGCTTGGAGTAAGGCTGTATGTGTATATGAAACGATGTATGTGTGTATTTTCAGATATATGTTGTAGGTGGCCATGGTGGTTATAAATACTGATTACATCTGGCGATGACAGGCACAGTGACAACTCTACTGATTCTCCTCCCCACCCATGACCTCATTCCCTCCCCTTATACTTGTTCCTTGCTTCCTGGGCAGCTTTTGTAATATCCTGTGCTCATTACACTTCTAGTACATTCCCATCCAGCCAGGGAGGACAGGAATGAGCTTCCACCCTTGGGTGTTGGGGTTAGGGTTGGAAGATTTTTAAGGGGAACAGGTCTGGCTCCAGATGAGGGCCAGAGTCTTCAAGCTTCCCTGGAAGTTACATTTACTTCATTATTATCTGCTTTGAGTGGTTCGCAACTTCTTCTGAGATTGGGGACTTTTTTTTTTTTTTTTTTTTGCGGTACGCGGGCCTCTCACTGTTGTGGCCTCTCCTGCTGCAGAGCACAGGCTTCGGACGCGCAGGCTCAGTGGCCATGGCTCACGGGCCCAGCCGCTCCGCGGCATGTGGGATCTTCCTGGTCCGGGGCACGAACCTGTGTCCCCTGCATCGGCAGGCGGACTCTCAACCACTGCGCCACCAGGGAAGCCCCCAGGAAAGCTTTTAGATGGCGTTGATGTTATATTTGCCATTGTGGTTAATCAAATATACATTAGGAAAAATAGTTTTAGCTTTATATGCAAGACATGCCAATCTGCCTTCAGATATTTGATGTGCATATGGATTTGTGGATCCTTTGGACCACGCTCCGCCCCCCCCCCCCCCCCCCCCGCCCTGCCGATGCCTTCCTGGGACCGCTGACTGAGAACCTCCATGCTAGGAAATCTGTTTCTTTTCTCTGGGGCTCTGGCCACAGGTGATTGAAGACAGAGCTAAGTATGAGTCACTGAGTGTGTATACTGCTGCTGATTGTCTGCCGAAGTGGGGATCAAGTAGACTGGGATTTTGCATTGGTTTACGTATGAACTCCGCCTCATGTCACTCGTGTGGGGAGAAAGGGCTGAAAAGTGATCAAGGAAGAAGAGTATGCAGGTGTGTGTGGGATACCTCGAGTGGAGTGGGGATGTAGATGTATACGATGGTGCGTACCTCGCTTGGGGGAGAAATGAAACCAGTGGTAATGCGTGTGTTGGCAGGGAGATAGACGCATGGGTCTCGTATTTTGTAGGTTTGTTGGCAATTTAATTCAACAGATTGTTGTCAAGTCCTCCTTGGTGATAAGCCTTGTGTTCGGGGCTGAAGGTGAGTCAGACATGAAGAAGACACTGCTCAGGGAGTTGCCTGATTAATTGGGGAAGCAGATGAAAAAGCAGTCCAGGGTGTGGTTAAGAGCACAGATGCTGTAGTCTGGCTGTCTGGGCAGTGACCCTGGACTTAAGCCGTCTCTGCCCTGGTTTCCTTATCTGTAAAATGGGGACAGTAATAGTACCTACGTTACAGAGTTGTTATGGAAATTAAATTGGCTAATTCACATAAAGTGCTTAGAATAGTGCCCCGGCACGTAGAAAGTGCTCAATAACAAAAGAACAGCATGGCATATGCAGTGAGATGCAGAGATGCAGTGAGGCAGTGTAGCTTAGTGATTAAAGCGTAGTCTTCTGAGGCTCAGATCTGGGTTTAAATCTGATTTCTCTACTCACTCGGCCTGTGAGTCAGATGAGTACTAACCTTCCGACTAATTTTTCCTGACCTGTAAAATGGGGATAAGCATGCTTATCTCACAGGTTTGTTTTGGGAATGAAGTGAGTGTCTGGTACATAATTAGTGGTGTAAATGGTAGTTGTTATTATAACAGAGTACTCTTGGGGTTTTGAAGAAGGGGTGAATTTACAAGTCAGGGGATTAATAATAAAAGGCATACTATTTAAGATTGGCCTTAAACGTTGATCAGTAAACTTGGTGTGGGGAGGTCACGCTAAGCAATGGAACTAGTGAGGACAAAGGCGTGGAAGGGGGAAATGTACATCATGTCCTTAGAGGGGCACCAAGGAGTACAGGGAAAACAGTGGAATCTATAGCAGGAGAAGCAGGATGAGGCCAGGTCTTGGAGTTTTTCTTTTTTGGGGGCGTGCCGTGAGGCTTGTGGGATCTTAGTTCCTCAACCAGGATTGAACCTGGGCCCCTGGCAGTGAAAGCACTGACCACCAGGGAATTCCCCAGGTCTTGGAATTTTGACTTAAATCATTCACCTAACATTTATTGGATGCTGTGTATAGAGTATTGGTAAATGGAGCCACAAAAGAATTTTGAGCAGGCACGTGAATAAGAAGAACTGTGTTTTGGAAGCTGGGAGTGAAGGGTAGAATGGAATATGGAGGGCAGAGTCATGCGGTGGAGGGATCAGTGGGAGATGGTTCAGGAAAGGGATATTGGGGCTCTGACCCTCGGCTGTCTTGGGGACTGGCAAGGAAGGGTGGTGGCGGCAGTGGTGGCAGTAGCAGCAACAGTGGCTGAGAGCTTTTGCTGAGACTGAAGCTGCAGGACTCTGCCTTTCCCACGTGGAGGGGCAGAGGTGATGAGGTTTCAGGTTTGCTTGCTCGGAAGGATGGCGGTGGGAGTTGCGGGGAGGGAGAAGTTGGGAGGGGGACCAGGTTTGAGCCACAGGTCATGCACCTGTCTTGGTGTTCCTGGACAGAGGCATCCAGACAGTTGGAAGTGTGAGACCAGAGCTTTGAGTTGAAGGTGGGGCTGCAGGTAGAGACCTGGGAGCCACGTGTGTGGAGAGAGTATTTGAAGCTTTGGGATCAGATGAAGTGGCCAAGGAGAAGGTGAAGAGACTTCAGGGGGGCTCATTTGGGAGGAAGAGGGAGAGGAGTGTCCGCAGACTCAGGGAAGGAGCAGTTAGAACAAAAAGTAAATCGGATCACACAGTCAAGGGAGGAGAGAGCGGGGCCTCACAGCTAGTGGGCATTTGCTGGGTGCCTTGAAGGCATGACCACCCCGTGAGATGTAAGAGCTGGGATCTGAA